GAATTGACACATAATTGTATATGTTGGCCGGGGAACAACATATACAATCCCCAGTTCGGCAAGAAAAAAGAAAGAAAGAAATGCAAATTGTATAGGTTTATGGTTACATGCCACATGAATACATAATATACCTGTGTAACACATGTAATATATTATGCAATGATATGTTAAGTGCATTTACTATGTATTATATAATATATAAAAATATATATAATATATAATTATGACATATATAATATATGCTTATCAGTGATCAAAACAGAAAAACTAGCAGAACTGTCACTTCAATGATCATTTCTTTGCAGTGAGAGTATTTGAAAGCCCCTCGCCTAGCTATTTTGAAATATACGTTACCTTATCGTTGATTACGGTCATCCTACAATGGGCTGGAACTTCAGAACTTATTTGTCTTATCTAATCATAAACTTGTGCCCATCAACTAAACTCTCAGCTCATCTCCAGTCCCCTCCCCAGTATCTGGTAACTATGATTCTAATCCATTTATCCATGGACAGCTTTCTCATACACCACACACAAGAGAGATCAGGTGGTAAAAATGTAACTTCTTATCACAAACAGTGAGGCTCCGGGGAACAAATGAATTGTTAATGGGATTGGTATTCACATAGCAGTTCAAGAGACAAGATTGCATGAATAATGGCTCAAATAATCATGGAACAAATCCTTAAATCCTATCAAGGCAAAGTAGGAATGTTAAGGGGACAATTTTAAGATAGCCAGGTGGTGGGGCAACCACAGGCTTTTACACATCTCCTGGAAACTCAGTGACAAACCACTAAATGACACCCACCTATTTGAGAATGATCTGCATGAGAAAAAAATATTTGTTATAGATAAGACTGTCGGGGGCCGTTGGGGGCTGGGGGAGATGGCTCAGTAGAATAAGCTCTTGTCTGGCAAGTGCAAGGGCCTGAGTTCAATTCCCAGTTCTGCCCCCCACCAAAAAAAATGATAAGACTGTCAAACATTGGTTTTGTTTATCACTGTTTCGTGTATCCTCTGCCAAGGAAAAAGATTTTCACACATCCCCAGGAACAGTTTGTGAAAAATACTATGGAGTCACATCTTTTGTTTCATTTGTTAAACTTCCTTAATAAGGCCAACAAAAAGCTTTCAGAGGTAGAATTTTCCCCGAGCAAATGGCAAAACAGACCTGTTAAGTACAGCGAATAAACTTAGTACAGCAAGCATTCTACCAAAATTGACTAGGTGACTAGGTGTGGCTGTTATTCATTGTTCAGTCACCCTGCACAGAATCTGCTCTCTAGCTACCATTTCATTTGACATTCCTTTTATCTAAGGGCTTATAATAAGCAAACTATATTCAATTTTGCAAAGGCAGATGTACTCTTCTGGTATCCTAGAAACAGACCAAAGTATGCTTTGTGGAAAGACCAGAAGTTCGAGCCACTGATACAAATGGGTCTTAATGTGCAAGCACAGAAATACAAGGACTGGAAATACTTTAAACAAAAGCTTGACAATTCTAAGGACAAGTACAGGATTACTGGTGAGTGGTGTGATTAAAAGATAAAGTGTACTGTAGTTGTTTAGAGGAGAGTAAGTACCAGGGAAATTAAGTAAAATTATGCATTTTTTTTCATTTTTTTCTGTAATCATATCATGGTCAGGACCCATAAGAAAGAGATTTCTTCCAGATAAGGCAGATAAATGCCATTTAAAATTGCTCCCACGAGTTCAATTCTAACACAAAGCAGCTTTCCAGGCCATAAAGGAGGAGCATATCAAGATCTCAGGGTTAGATTTCTGTATATGTAATTGCAGAAATTAATCTTTTATCAATTTATCACATCACAACAGCTGTTGTTAAATAATCTAGGAGACAGAGAAGCAATTTCTAATTGTTCCATGGGGTCTTCTAAGCAATGCCTTGTGTCTTGTGACACACCATAAAACAAACTATACTCCTGTGAGTCATATTAGTTATTTTCCACAGTCTGAAATCTGAAATTACCCTTGCTGGAGAGAAGAAAAAAAGGAAATTTCTTCTGTTAATGAAAGCATCTAGAATTGAATTAGAAAGCACACGAGGCTAGAAAACTCAATGAATTTCTTATTGGATTCTATGAAAGCCACTCCCTGTGTGATTCAGCATGATCAATAATGCACGCGGGACCAACACTTGGAATGGAGCCATTCTAGCAGAACCCGAACAGAAACAGCGTTCTTGACTTCCTTTTCTACTTCTACTCTAGTACATAGTAAAAACATTCTTAAAACAATGTTTTACTACAGATGTATATTAATTTTACATTATATAATTTCTACGCAGCTCAAGATAATTCTTCTTCCGTCAACAGGTCCCAGGCAAGACAGGTGTGCCCAGCTCACAGGCTGCAGGTTACACATGCCTGCTCACCCTGACTCACCGAGCCAGGGCATTTTGCCGGCGCCCTGAAGTTGGCACTTGAGCTTTGAAAAGATATATGCTTTAGCATTGTAGGACAACCTTGGCTCAGGTATTTGACAATAAGATCTTACTCCTATTTCTTGCTCCATTTGAAACTGAGACATCTAATGAGAGGCTGAGAGTAGTAATGGTGAGTTAAATGATCCCTTCTTATAATTACCTCTCGTTAACTTTCCCTTTCCCCTTAACCACCACCCTTTTATTCTTTGTCCCTGTGAACTCAACTTTTTCAAGATTCTACATATACATGAGATCATGCAGTATTTATCTTTCCATATCTAGCCTATTTCACTAAGCGTAAAATTCGCCAGGTTAATCCATATTGTCTCATTTTACAATGCATACATACCTCAAATCATCACACTGCACACTTTATTTACTTATACTTATTTATGTATTTGGTACAGAGTCTCACTACACAGCTTGGACTTGTAGTGATCCTCCTGTTTTCAGCCTCCCCATGACTGGGACTACATGTGTGCACCACTATGCTGAGTCTTGCTGGCCTGCACAGCCTGTGGCACTGGGGACCAAACCCCAGTCCCTGCTCTTGCCTAAGCAGGTGCTTAGTCCACTGAGCTATCTTGCCAGCCCAACACACTTTGAATGGATATACTTTGTCAACCATACCTTAAGAAAGTGGGCAAAAAGTAAAACGTCTCTTAGTTTTTTCCCTATGTGTTACATTTTCTGTACAACTTTCTGTATTCACCAAGCACATTCACACCTCTATGGGTTTTTTTCATATTATTTTCATTATCTACAAGTCTTTTCACTATTCCCTTATAGGTATGGAGGAATTGTGATCTTCCAGCATGTGAAACCTCAGGAAATCAACAAGGAATGTGACCATATAAAGTATTACTGGAAGTCAAAGAGGACCTCTGGCAAGTGTATTGGTAACCTGGAATCTAATTTATCCATGTAACTAATCAGCACTGAGTTCTAATGAAAATGTTTTGGGTAAACTAGGAAAGAACATGAAATGCATTTATTTTAAGTAAAACTGTCTAAACATTCTGGAAGAAGTGTATCTATCATGCTGCAGAACTATAGTGACTTATCATTACTCACACCTGCAGTTTATGGACACAGTTATGCTGCTCAAAGACAGCTGGCTCAATGATGACTTCCTTGAATTCTGAGAGTCAATTTTCTAATAACATAGACTTTGCTGAGAGCTGACTGTCCTACTCCATTTTCAATACATCAAAACATCATTTAAAGCTTCTAGCTTTCACTGCTTTTATTACCTAGCATTGATGAAATGGCAACAAATAAAGTTAACACAGCTCTTTCAGATCTATCTTTTTAACAGTTTAAAAGAAGTAGGCTGGCTAGAATTAGAATGAGACAACATTCAGCTAAATTTGAGGCCTGAAGAACAGCAACAGCAAGGGGACAGTTTTCAATTCTCTCCAAGAAGTGTCGAGCCAGAATGCAAGCTCACATTTGAAAGTATCAGGACATGATGAATTCTCAATGGGCAACATTAACAAATATAACTTAATCGCTTTTGAAATGATTCACTGAAATTCACAGATGGATAAAACTAATAGAGACTTGTCTAGAATGATATGATAAACTCATGAATTTCTGCAAATACAAAGTCTACCTTGAGATTAAGGTATAATCACCATCAAACACCCAGCCAGTGTTCTTCAATAATGTTAAGGCTACAGGAAATAGATAACAACAACTGAGAAACACTCACAGACCAGAGAGAGGGGAGAGAATTCAAGTAAATGCACCCTGGTGCCCTGGACTGCACACTGCATAGAAAAGTCATATTAATAGAAAATCAGGTAAAGTCTGAGTAAAGTTCATAGTAATATGTGTGCATCAGCTTCTTGGCTCAGACAAATCAGAAATAAGTCACTGTTAACTGAGAGGGAGGTCTGTGGATAGATCCTCTGTAGAGCATTTTCCTAGCACATGGAAGGCCGATTCCCAGCGCTGCAAAAGCAAAAACAGAAGCAAGCAAAAACAAGTGGGGGAACTGGGTAAGGTGTAATATGAGAACTCTGTAAGGCTTTTGGAATTTTTCTAATAAATCTTATTTTGCAATAAAAAACTTTAGTAAAAAGCAACAACAAAACTATCAAAGATAACAGAGAATTTTATTCAAATTAACGTCCTGAAAACCAAAGGCTTTCATATAATAGTCTAACCTTCTTATGTTAAAATGCTCCTGCTCCTTTATTAATATTCTTCCAGAAACTGAACTCATGCATAAATGTAACCAGGTTTTCAATCTAACACACCTGATTGCTGCCTTCACGAGCACAGCTCTGAAGTGTCAATTAACATATGAGCTGCGTCCTAAATCCTATAGTAACTAACCTCCTCAAGGCTCTGCAAGGTTATTCCAATGTAAATAAATATGCTTTTAATAAAAGTCCCTGGCCTCAGGGTATAGCTCACTGGTGATGCACTTGCCTAGTATGTGCGAGGCCCTGGGTTTGGTCCCCAGCACCACAAAAGCAAAACAGAACAAAACTCCTCCTAGAACACATTGGCAATTTTCAAGGACAGGGCTGTGACTTACAAGGGATGACATTTGAGCGTTTTGGAGCATAAGCTGCATCTGCTGGGTGAACATGGCTGCTGCAGTCTTCTGTTGGATCAGATTGTTGCGTCCATTAATCTCCAGCTGCGTTTTTAAGTGTGGAGGAGGGTGAAGGTACTTGCAGTTCTCTCGAGTACACCGACCCTAATAGTAAAAAATAAGCCAAGTTCTCACTTAGTGTTTCTAAAGATCAGCAAGGATTAACATAAGAATTTACTTGTTATACTCTTATCATGGGCCAAGAACTGTCACAAAGTCCTTTGTATGAATTAGTTTATCTAAACACCATAACAAACCTGTAAAACTGATACTCTTATGATCTTCATGCAAGTGAGGAAATTCAGATTGAAAGAGGCTAAGTGTCTTGCCTATAGGCACATAGCTAAAAACGTGACAAAACTAGAACTCCAACCCAGTTAGTCTTATTCTGGACCTTCTCTTTGCTACTCTGCTCTATTTTGATATGCACCAAATTTACATTCATAATGCAAAATATTAGGAATAGCATATCATAAAATTTAAGAATTACAAATTTGAAAAAAAATCAATGTGAGCTATAAATTCACACATTTAAATTAAATAACTCAGAATTTCAGCCAACATGTACAATTATCCATTTATGGGTCCAATTATTTAAATACAGGATGACCAAAAATTGCATGTTTACATTGTTTTAAGATAACAGGAAATACAAAAATGCTAATTTTCGCAAATCTATTCAACACAGGAATTGACTGGTTGAAATGATATCTGCCCAAGTGACACTGAGGATACTCATTTCTATTAATTGGAACAATCTCGGTTTTCAAAGCTCTATCTCAACCTATAGAATGTGAGCAGTATCTGAGATCTGGTTAGCACTGACATGTGCTACTTAAGAATGAATTCCCACATCTTGCAGCCAAGTTGGTTTGGTTTTGGGGTACCAGAAGTAATAGCCTTCAGTTACCTGGATATTTGAGACCAAGTATAGGATTTTCAGAACTCTGAATGTTTTTTTTGATGATTTAAGTGCTTTTAAAATAACTGATTTATGATAACTGATAACATGTTAGTTCCATGGAATCAAATATATCCTTGGTGTCACCTACATGCTAACATGCTTAAAGTGTTTTTCACTATACAATTGTACATGTTTATGACATATAGTGTGATATTTCCATTTATGTATACAACTACAATGATCAGATCAAAGTAATTGGTCTATCAGCTTAAACATGTCTTTTTTTGTGCTGTGAACATTTGAAATCTCTTTCATTATTGAACTATACAATTAATTGGTCAATCATAATCACCCTATTGTGCTACAGAACATTAAAAGTTATGCCTCACATTCAACTGTACTCCATGTACCTGTTTAAACATTCAGTCGCTCAGACCAGGTGGTTCTATTGTTTTATCTCCCCTGGTAAGAATCTGAGTATAACCTAAAATTTAGTCTAAGAAATTAAGATGCCCTGTCATTTTTCTCTTGAGCTTGTGTTTTTTCTCCCTAAACTACAGCTCTAGCCCTATTTAATATTTTGAGACAGAGTTTCATTAAGGTGCCCAGCTCAGATTTACACTTGCCATCCTTCTGCCTCATTCTTCCGAAGTGCTGGGATGGCAGGCATCCACTACTGCAAATGCCTTTAACTTTTTATTAATTAAATTAAAAACCATACAAAACTGAATCTTTCAATGTAACTTTATGTCTTTGTAAATCCTTAGAAAAGACTTTATAGGTAGAAACAGTGAGTAGTATTAACCTCAACCTCCTAAATGCATATAGTAAAACTAAGAAACAGTTGGATAATTCCAGCACCTTTAAGGAAATAGGCATGTGCAAAAAAGGTACAGAAATGGAAGACTTCACCTATGAGTATATACATCTACTGGAAAAAAGATTTAGTTCACATCTGTTTTATCTTTTTTTAAAAACATATTTAGTACAGGGTCTACAGGGTCTCACTACACAGATCAGACTTGTAGTGATCCTTCCTGTTTTTCAGCCTCCCAACCACTGGGATTACAGGCGTGTGCCACCATGCCCAGTCTCAATTGCCAGCTCAGTGTGCCCTGGGGACAGGGCCAGCATGGCAGCCCAGGGATCGAACCACAGTCCCTGCTCTGCCTAAGCAGGCACTTTAATCCACTGAGCTATCTGGCTGGCCCATATCTGTCATATCTTGGGCAAAGACAGTAACAGGGATTGGAATGTCTAGATGCTCAAGCCTCCACCCACATAACTTAAGTCTTTTGTCTTAAAATTCATTGACCCTGAGGAGGCATGGCACACAGTAACTTCTAGTTCCATGCATGCTTGCTTGTGTACTCGCTTGCTTATTTGTTTGTTTATTTATTTATTTAGTGGTACTGGGGATGGAACTCAGCACTATGTACTTACCAGAAGCCACTTAAACCGTTGAGCTATATCCCCGGCCCAAGCATGCTAATTTATACTTCTACTTTGAGCTTCCTCCTCATCCTACCCCACAACATTAAAGATTTCCCAATGCTCAAGTTTAAATGCTTTGCTCTCTTCTCTCATCTGTCTTCCATGAAGAAATGGAGCTGTTTCAAAGTTTCATACAGCCCTGTATTTGTCCAGATATTAAATCTCTATCTCTACTCTGACTTCTCTTCTGACTTGCAGGATTTTTCATGATCAGTTGCAGCTGCAGTGGGAGATTTTGTAACCAGGTCTGAATATCTACTGCTTCCTTCTCCTCTATGTTTCATTTTGCTACACATTCACACTCAGGGCTGTTGCACCAATCCCCATGCTTTGAGGGCATTTACAAGCAGCAATGAGAAAATATATCAGCTAGCTGTAGAGCATGATTTCAAAGTCACCTAGATAGTTTTGATGAAACAATTAGCACACACACAACTATAAAGGCAAACTGTACCCCTCCCCCCAAAAAACAAAACAAACTAAAATTTCCTCTATAAAAGAATTTTCATATTCAAGAATTTCAAACAATAGATCAGTTTAAAACAAAAACTAACAATTGGGAGTTCATCATTTGTAATAATTTATAGAGTTTTAATATCAGTTACATTAATGCAGTCAGAGAGAAAGAGGAGAGGGAGCAAACATACTGTACTCTGCAGTTTTTTTTAACCATTCCATAGGAAAAAAATTGAACATACCTTTTTGCTTTTATGTCACTGTCCCTTAAATATAGCAACTTTTCTTAAGCTTTTTCTTGGAAAACTAATGAGATTTTTGCAAAGCAAAATCAGTACACAGAAACAGAAAAAAATGTACTTTACAAATTACATTAAGTTGGGCTATGAAACTAAAGCATGGAATATGAAGTAGCATGAGATTTCAGGAAACTTATTCATCTTAGTTATGAGATTTTACTTGATTTATAAATCATTCTTTTTTGAATGATAGAATCCATAATTTAATGCTATAACAATGCAAATGTAGTGATGCTACCTTATCAGAAACTGCAGCTTATTGTAAAGAAAGCATATAAAATAAAAAATCTGCACTTTCTATCCAAACAATAGATGAAGAGACCAAGTAATTTAATATGTATGTTATCTATGGAATACGTTACAAAGAACACTAAGACCATGGTGCTTTTTCAAAATAACTATTGAACACAATAATGAATTTATATGCCCAATACTTGGTGATGATAAACCTCCACTTGATAGGATGCATTCTTCAAGAGACCCAAATTTAGTTATAGGCCAAGATATTTTAATTGGCATATGGGGGGGGATTTTGGTTCTGACATTTGATGCATTTCATCTGAGGAGATAAGGACTATAAAGCAAGGTTCGGTGGGGTCAGGATTGTCCCAGTGGAATAGGTAATTTTCTATGATTCTTGACCTTTGGAAAAACAAGGAATGCGACTACAATGGTTCCAATGATTTCCTTTGGCCAGCTAAGTACCACAAGGGTAAGTGGACAAGATACTCTATCACACTGAATTTGTAACAAGCCAGAAACTATCTTGGGCCTGAATAAAAATAACCCCTCAGATTTCCCCAGCAAGTCAATGGTGCTCCAAGCCATCCTTCTTTGAATCTAATATTTTCCATGTACTAGTGCAAAATATAGACCCGTGTCATAAAGGAGTCTTCAGAAGTTATGTCTGTGACACTCACTTTCATTTGGTTCAGCAGGCTATGTTCCTAAAACTGCAGCAACTGGTCTATTCACATAAGTCATGAAAATACTCTCCCTTTTCCTTCCATATACACCAAATTAAAGAAAATTTAAAATACTACAGTATAGGCTCATTGATGCTTGCCTCAGTAGCTCTCCTCTGCAGTTTCCTGTTAGTCTTAAAAATATGTCACTCTCATTTGGTTTTTCACTGTGTTGAGTAAAAAAAATAGTGATTCAATAGGAAAGTAGTTCTCTACTGAAATAAGTGGTCCTACACCTATGAATCTTCCAGTTCCCTTTTCCCATTTAATGCCTTTGAAAATGCAGCCAAAAAGCAGCAGGAGGGGGGATGGCCAATGACACTTCTGAACTACATCTGCATCAAAAAGTTGATAACAGACAAAGGAAAAAGTTGCAGAGCATTTATAAAACCTCCCAAATTCAATCTATTGCCTTTTTCCTACTTTCAGGCTTTTCACAATGAACACAAAGCCTTTGACTGAGAGAGAAAAGTAGCATTGTAGTGATTCAAATCCCACCTATATCTTGAGAATTATGAGTCAGAGTCTGTCAGATAACACAACTTCCCATGCACTTGATGGTAGAAAAACCTGTGAAAAGTACTTTTTATGTTCATGAGAAAGCTCTACCATCCATCAAAATAAGAAAAGGACCCTAGGAAGCTGAAAACTACTCTTTTCAGTCACAGTATCTTAACAAAAACAGCTGCTTGCAGAAAGGCTTGCTTCTTCAAATACATTTGGAGTTACAGGGCAAAAAAAAAATCCCAAAATAACTTCTCTCAAAATACAATTATAACTGGATTACCCTATTGAAGAAATAATCTCATTGATCTTCCAGACTACATAGTGTTAGAATGTTAAACATACCACACGGATGATTTGTTTTATGAAGAAAATATTGGTATTTCATTCTAATGATCATGTATTAAATGAAAAATCCTACTGATGATGTTGCCCTGCATAATATGTGTTCATAGACATGGCTTCTCAGAGGAAGTAACTGTG